GTTTAAGATTCGCTACTCAAAACGATAAGTTCCAGTAGCACGGGCTATGGTGAGCCCCGTATGGCTCGAGAGAGAGAGAACCTAGGGATTCTTATTATAAATGTTGGTTAGGTGACTGGCTGGTAGGACGGTCATCAGTGTCTCGAGAGGATCCGGTAGAGGAGGTCTCGAGAGGATCCGGTAGAGGAGGTCTCGAGAGGATCCGGTAGAGGAGGTCTCGAGAGGATCCGGTAGAGGAGGTCTCGAGAGGATCCGGTAGAGGAGGTCTCGAGAGGATCCGGTAGAGGAGGTCTCGAGAGGATCCGGTAGAGGAGGTCTCGAGAGGATCCGGTAGAGGAGGTCTCGAGAGGATCCGGTAGAGGAGGTCTCGAGAGGATCCGGTAGAGGAGGTCTCGAGAGGATCCGGTAGAGGAGGACGGGGTTGTTGATTTAGATTTAGCTACTTTAGCTTTAGAACGAAGTGTCCATGTAGCACGGGCTATGGCGAGCCCGTAAGAGGACAGGGGGTAGCACGCAGTGTTTGTAGGTCGCTGTGGAGGGCGGCTCCCACTTCACGCCCTTGGTACACTTGCCCTCGCCTCACCCCCATCCACTTTGCTACACACAAACCCTTCTTCACTCCACAAACAAATTATTTTATCCCAATTCTCGCTTTCTCTGACCTTTAGGCCTAACCCTACCATTAATTAACAAGCTATTAACTACATCTTGTTCTTCTATATTCTAAACTTCTCAAATAACATAGAACGAAAGGGCAATGTAAAGGATTTGGGTGTCCTCATGTCTGAAGAACTTACCTTGAAAGAACACAACAAAGTGGTCGTCACAACGGCAAGAAAAATTACAGATTGGGTAACACATCAAACAGCCTGGTTGAACAGTCTAGCAAAGAGGAGGCCTGGTCGACGACCGGGCCGCGAGGATACTAAGCCCTAAGGGCGGGAATCTCAATCTTCACCAATCCAACCGAACACTTGGAACACACTCGCAGTATTCAGATGAGTGTCACACACACACTTACGTTCCCTCTGCACCATGTTGCTTAATAAATTACAGATACCTGGCCTGCCAGTGGTGGATAAAGAGGGAGGAGTGATGGAGGTGGACAGGTTGATCTTAGGAAAGACGCCCTGACCTAATTACCCAACACCCGTTATTACCTTGACTGTTTCTAGGGTACAGTATCAAAGGCTTTCTTGTAGCAAACTTGGAATAGCTAGTCTATGCTATAAAAGACTTTGGATATATATACATTAAACTATAACTAGCTTATGAAGATTTAACTTTGCTAAGCTAAAGGAATTTTGGGCTTCATTTTCAGAGCTCATTGCATACCTCTAATATTTTCCACTACAGCCCACGGAATGGGTATAGGGTACGTAATAAATTTACAAAATCAATCTATGCAGACTATCAACTCATTATTGGTCCAGGACCAGTCTCAAGTCAACCGCCAGTCTCCAAACCCCAAATGCAGCTTTCAGTTATTTACAATAAGTCTTCAGACTTCAGGCTTACCTCGTCAACCCCTCTTCTAAATTAGGGTTCCTTGAAGCCATCCCCAACTGCTGTATATCCAGGGTATTAACCTCTGCTTCCGCTTCCACTCCCAGATATCTCGACCAGATATCAACCAGATATCTCTGCTTCTTCATCCTAGACACCGTAATTCAGGGCGGGAACTAGACTGAACAAAAACATTGATTTTCCATTTACTGTTACCAAGTGATAATGGTTGATTTGTGGAACCAATTACCGCGTAACGTGGTGGAGGTGGAGTCCCTCGATTGTTTCCAAGCGCGGGTTGGACATGTATATGAGTGGGATTGGGTGGTTATAAATAGGAGCTGCCTCGTATGGGCCAATAGGCCTTCTGCAGTTACCTTTGTTCTAATGTTCTTAGGATAACGCAATGATTTCCTTCCCTCCATATATAGGCTACCGACTCAAATTTTGCCACTAGTATGCATAGGGTAATCAAGGTACAGTAATTTGATCAATGCTTTTAATACTCTATTAGTTGTGCCTCAGCAAAGAATATCTTATTACAACCTTTCCCACTCAACATAAGAACATAAGAAGAACATAAGAACAAAGGCAACTGCAGAAGGCCTGTTGGCCCATACGAGGCAGCTCCTATTTATAACCACCCAATCCCACTCATATACATGTCCAACCCATGCTTGAAACAATCGAGGGACCCCACCTCCACCACGTTACGCGGCAATTGGTTCCACAAATCAACAATCCTGTTACTGAACCAGTATTTACCCAAGTCATAAGAACATAAGAACAAAGGTAACTGCAGAAGGCCTATTGGCCCATACGAGGCAGCTCCTATTCTATAACCACCCAATCCCACTCATATACATGTCCAACCCGCGCTTGAAACAATCGAGGGACCCCACCTCCACAATGTTACGTGGCAATTGGTTCCACAAATCAACAACCCTGTTACTGAACCAGTATTTACCCAAGTCTTTCCTAAATCTAAACTTATCCAATTTATACCCATTGTTTCGTGTTCTGTCTTGTGTTGATACTTTTAATACCCTATTAATATCCCCTGTGTTATGTCCATTCATCCACTTGTAAAGCTCTTATCATATCAACCACTTGCAGGATCCACCAAATTCATCAGAAGCCTCATCATCCTCATCCTCCCATCAACAAAAATTAGCCTCATAACCGCTACTCATCGCCCTAGGCCTATCTAGCTAAACCACAAGGCTAATAAGAACACTGGCCTCACAGGACGTGGATTCTTGCCGGGACCTCTAATCACCAGTTGGGCCCTAATCACTTTGGCCTCAGGTGATCACGTCCACTGGACTACTGCTTCCTCCTTCCCCCCCCCCCGCCCCCCCTTGGGACGCTAACCACCTCGTCAATGTCTTCTGGTTTCTACTAAACAGGTTTCATAATAGCATAAGAACAAAGGTAACTGTAGAAGGCCTATTGGCCTATACGAGGCAGCTCCTATTTATAACCACCCAATCCCACTTATATATGTCCAACCCACGCTTGAAACAATCATGATAGAGTCTTCTTACAACTTAGGGATACATCGCATCTATACATTTTATACATGTAAAATACTTGAGCCCTTGTATACACTGTGGCTCAAGCATACACTATAACCATGTAACAGTATACATACCATGTATACTGTTAAAACTTTATATATACTAATACTGTGCATTTAGTACCAATACCACGTACCTTAACGATCAACTATGTAACACCACGCACTGCCAGACTTGGTCTAGATTCACGAAACAGTTACGCAAGCACTTACGAACCTGTACATCTTTTCTCAATCTTTGACGGCTTTGGTTACCTTTATTAAGCAGTTTACAAGTATGTTGTAAATGTTAAATACTGGTTCAATGTTAAATACTGGGTAAATACTGGTTCAGTAACAGGGTTGTTGATTTGTGGAACCAATTACCGCGTAACGTGGTGGAGGTGGGGTCCCTCGATTGTTTCAAGCGTGGGTTGGACATGTATATGAGTGGGATTGGGTAGTTATAAATAGGAGCTGCCTCGTATGGGCCTATAGGCCTTCTGCAGTTACCTTTGTTCTAATGTTCCAAGTAGCACGGGCTATGGAGAGCCCCCGTAGTGGATTCCCTTCTATATCCTAACGTCTTTATGTAGGTGATGGAGGGAAGGTGATGGAGGGGAAGGGCGATGGAAGGGAGGGCGATGGAAGGGAGGGCGATGGAAGGGAGGGCGATGGAAGGGAGGGGGGTGGTAATCTGGAAGGGAGGCGTTGGAGACATCCCGGAGGAGGTCATTAATCAAAGAGGCTTCTCCCTGCTACCAAGCCTCCTTCCCTTAGCCTCGCTACCCCGGTTCCTCCTCTCGCTTCATACGCGCCTTCCAAGATCCTTCTCTCTGGCACTTGAGTCGAAATTATGCCTCAATATGTTACTAGTTAGCTTGGACTCTTTTAGAAGGTTGCCTTCATACTTGTTGATTTGTGAACCCAGTTGTGGATATTGGTAAGGTGTTGAAATAGGAACATAAGAACAAAGGTAACTGCAGAAGGCCTATTGGCCCATACGAGGCAGCTTCTGTCTATAACCACCCAATCCCACTCATATACATGTCCAACCCACGCTTGAAACAATCGAGGGACTCTACCTCAAAGTATCAACACAAGACAGAACACTAAACAATGGGTATAAATTCAATAAGTTTAGATTTAGGAAAGACTTGGGTAAATACTGGTTCGGTAACAGGGTGGTTGATTTGTAGAACCAATTGCCGCGTAACGTGGTGGAGGTAGGGGTCCCTCGATTGTTTCAAGCGTGGGTTGTACATGTATATGAGTGGGATTGGGTGGTAATAAATAGGAGCTGCCTCGTATGGGCCAATAGGCCTTCTACAGTTACCTTTATTTTTAAGGTAACTGCAGAAGGCCTATAGGCCCATACGAGCAATGTTCTTATGCTTGACCAAAGTCGTGAATAGAAAATATACCTTTAATACTTTTATTCGAAAACAACGCTGAAGTAGCCTTTATGATGTTAAAAAAATATATATATAATTTTTAGGCTTACCTTAACCTCAAAAACAATCAAAACACTTCCCAAGTAACAGTTTAGAGGTGTGGTGATGCAAATTGCACCAACTATCAAGAAGAAGAATTAGTAGTGAGGTGCTGTTACGGGCTATTTATGCCCATGCATAAATAGAGACATTGCTAGACTGAACGTCTTCATCTCATTAGCAACACCGACTGTCTAATTGGATGACGTATCCACTCGCACTGCTGTTGGATGAAGAAAAACGGTGTCCATAAATACGAATAACAAAGGTTTCAGCGGTTACGGGCTATTCATGCCCGTGCCACCTCTTGGGTGGCTTAATCTTTGTCAATCGTTTCAGCGGCGTGTCGTGTACTGCGGGAACTGTATTAAGAAGCCATTCACCCGGTAAATTAAGAAGAAATCCCCTATACTGGGCGTATAATTGAAGATAATATTGCAAATATGGGCCGTTACTCGACTGATTCAAGCAGCGAAAGGACCAGCAAAAGGAAACGGAGAAGCAGATCTCCGAGTAGCAGCAGTACTAGCTCTCTGAGTAGCAGCAGTACTAGCTCTCTGAGTAGCAGCAGTACTTGCTCTCCGAGTAGCAGCAGTACTTGCTCTCCGAGTAGCAGCAGTACTAGCTCTCCGAGTAGCAGCAGTACTAGCTCTCCGAGTAGCAGCAGTACTAGTTCTCCGAGTAGCAGCAGTACTAGTTCTCCGAGTAGCAGCAGTACTAGCTCTCCGAGTAGCAGCAGTACTAGCTCTCCGAGTAGCAGCAGTACTTGCTCTCCGAGTAGCAGCAGTACTAGCTCTCCGAGTAGCAGCAGTACTTGCTCTCCGAGTCGCAGCAGTACTAGCTCTCCGAGTAGCAGCAGTATTTGTTCCCGAAGTCGTCATCGTCACCATAAAAAGTCACGGACACACAGAAGACGTTCCTGTAGTCGTTCTCGTTCTGCGTACAGAAAGCGCAGTTCCAGCCCCGATTCAGATCATAGTGAAAATTACTCAAAATCAAGTCGAGATCGAGAGTACCACAGGATTCGTCGCAGACTTACGAGAGATCCGAGCACAGAAAGCGCAGTTCCAACCCCGATTCAGATGATCGTGAAAATTACTCAAAATCAAGGTCAGCGAGAAGCAGCAGTAGAGACTCCACAAAGGAAGAGACAAAGAAAGGTATAAAGGAAAAGGCTTTCTCAGACTCGTACCTGAGAAAGTCAAGTCTACAAAGAGACAAGAAATCCCAGAGTCTGAGAAAGTAGCATATTCACGAGCTGTAGAAGACATTAATGCTTCAGCAAGCAAACCTTCAGATCTTCAGGATCCAGATCTGCGGCGATAAACAAGCTGATAGTAAAGATAGAGATAGATCCAACTTTGAGAAACTGGCTAAATTGGCTGCAAAAGAATTGGCTAGGAAATTTATGCCTGCTAGTGAGGATAATCTTTCAACTCCTCACCTGTGATGAAAATGATTTTTTCACTTCGCCAAAAGGCTCTGCTTGGAGCCTTTTGGCGAAGATGAATTCTTGGAAGATGAATTGTTATTCTTCAGAGTGAAGAATGAACGAAAAGTGCAGTTTTCTTGTGTTAAAATGTGACTTCTTATGTAAATTATGTAATTATGTAAATTATTTGCTTATGTAAATATGAATTTTACATAGCAAAGAATTTTGTAGGTATAAACCTAACTTCCATAGAATGTTTTATAAAACTATGTTTAAGTCTACAAATCAGTGATTTAATAAATCAAAGATGTCTTATGTTGAAAATGTTCCTTAATGTGTTCTCATTGCTGTGAAATAAAGGTTAGTAAAATGTTTAAATCAATTTGTTTTTAATCCTAAGTGATGATGAAGAGATCCTGAGTATATAAGTACATGAATGGAAAAAAGTTATTGATTTTGAGTCTCCCCCCCCCCGCCTTAGTCAATGGTAGTTATACAATGAATATGAATTCCAAATCTATTCATGATCTATGGTAATTGACATGTGCATTTTCTCCTAAAATCCTTGTTAGACATTATCCTTTCTCCTTGTTAGACATTATCCTACAATACATTACACGCAGAAATCACAATTGCGTGATGCGTCAAATGAACAAATCCACAAGGGCCGTGACGAGGATTTGAACCTGCGTCCGAGAGCATCCCAGACACTGCCTTAATCGACTGAGCTACGACATGGTAAAAAAAAAAGTTGAAACCGAAGTTCTACTGAATTTACTGGATCCTGCAGCCTCTCCTCTACATACTGTACTGGATGTATAATTTTTTTTGCCAACATATAATACAGTGTCTTTATGCATAAACTTAAAAAAATCATTGGTTGTTGAGTAACATGAAGATTTGTAATTTTACAATTGTCAATTTGAAGCATTTTAGCACTAAAGTGAAAAATAATATTCGTGGCTTTAAATAAAATAGATACAGTATATGAAAATACTGTATCTTTGCTGTTCAAAGCAGCAGTTTCAGTTTACAAATCCTTTCAGTTTAATCCTTTAATTGAAAGTTAAATTTAATGTTACCCAATACAGTATTGTATAAAAATATATTGCAAACAGTAAATTTGTCATAATCGTTAAAGAGTCTGCATTTGGAGTTTATATAATTTATTTTTATAAAATACTCTACTAGAACTGTCGTGAATAGGTTGGTACATGGCTAATAATAAAAATCTTATGCTTAGACCCATGACAGACAAAAATGTTCTGATTCTTGCCACTCTAAATTCTTTTCCAATTGATTACCTTTAATTACACGAGTCAACAGTTTGAAAAGCAAATATCTTGCTGATTTATTTCACTCAAACTGAGTGAAACTACTTGTGTTCCAGGTGACATAATTGGTGAGGGCAATTTACAGCATTAATCATGCTTCCAGTTTTACCTTTTCTCGTAATGAGTATAAATATTTCTCATACCTCAGATTCAAAATAAAAAATCATACTTCAGATTCAAAATCTAAAAATCATACTTCAGATTCAAAATCGAAAAATCATACTTCAGATTCAAAATCGAAAAATCATACTTCAGATTCAAAATCGAAAATCATACTTCAGATTCAAAATCGAAAATCATACTTCAGATTCAAAATCGAAAATCATACTTCAGATTCAAAATCGAAAATCATACTTCAGATTCAAAATTGAAAATCATACTTCAGATTCAAAATAAAAAATCATACTTCAGATTCAAAATAAAAAATCATACTTCAGATTCAAAATAAAAAATCATACTTCAGATTCAAAATAAAAAATCATACTTCAGATTCAAAATAAAAAATCATACTTCAGATTCAAAATAAAAAAACCATACTTCAGATTCAAAATAAAAAATCATACTTCAGATTCAAAATAAAAAATCATACTTCAGATTCAAAATAAAAAACCATACTTCAGATTCAAAATCAAAAATCATACTTCAGATTCAAAATAAAAAATCATACTTCAGATTCAAAATAAAGTTCGAAATGCAACTTATATGGCGCTTTGGAAACAATACAGTACAAACCTTATCTAAAAGGTTTATTCCAAATGATTTCCTTTCAGAGCAACATGTTCTCTACCATACGGCCTTTTGAATCGAATACAAAAAAATATATAGAAACTCAAACAGTCCATCACCGATGTTACTTACAAGCGACAGTTGAGAGCCGAAGCTCAACCTCTGGGAGCGCACACTGAAAAGAGATCTAGTGTTGCAACACTTTAATAACTGGGACATAACAGTCTCTCAGACTTCCACGGTCTCTCGGGATACGAACCGACTTTGCCACATATCGGATTTTACGGGAAGGGGAAAAAATATCAAAACTTTCCAATTCGTAACTTTGTACCGGTAGCTTAACGAGGGTCTACTGTTTTTCCCAATTTGGTTCCTAGCATTTAAAAGCATTTTATTCATTACTAATACACAAGAGGTTAAGTTTATTTTAGTAGTGTTCACAGCAAAAATAATTAAGCCTATGCTAGGCTACAACAAATTTTGTTTACTAATTTGTGATAAATGAAACTTTAAATGGTTCAGTTTCTCATTCTTACCGAGGCCAACGACTGGCCTCCCCTACGATACAACTAGGATGCAACTAAGCAGTTAATTATGGGGCACCTATTTACTGTTAGGTGAACAGAAATAAGCCAAGAAAAACTTGCCCAAACGTCTCCGTCCTGGCCGGGAATCCAGGAGACCTTTCGATTAGGAACGAACTGTTCTTATCGTTCAATAGGCTACGACCTAATTATCTAAAAACCTTAAATTTACATCGCATTTTGCAAGCCAAAGATTGTAAACCCAATACAGGCGATGAGTCACAATAACGTGGCTAAAGTATGTTGACAAGACCACACACTAGAACATGAAGGGACGACGACGTTTCGGTCCGTCTGTTACGGACCCGAGCCCAGCGTCCGAGCACGGAGCAGTGACGACCACGCCATCTGTGGGTCAGCTCCCGAAACCCCCTCCAAATGGACGACGCCACCTGGTGAGGACGAGGTATACTGGCCACAAGGGCTAGTTTCCAGTCCTGATCAGCTCATAACACAGCCGCTACTGACCTCTGGTGAGGTGACGCTTGGACAGCAACGCCATCTATGGAGTGGATAGGTGGGCGTTTGTGTCTAAGCCTGTAAGTGAGGTGCCCTAGAGTGTCCCTATTACTGATGACATGTCTGATTACAGAGTCGACCTGGGACTGCTGTAATGGAAGTTGGATCAGTCTACCCAAGGCAGCCGTCTTGTCTCCAAGTATTTGCTGCAGCAGCTGTGAGTCACCCCCCGGATGAACACTGTGGTGTTAGCCTGTCTGTGACGTGGCAGCTGAGGGATTGTCGTACTCGGGACTGACTGGTGGAGACGCTTAACCACTGGGGTGTTGTGGCGAGGAGAGTGATCTGTGGGATCACACGAGGCTCCTGACTAGGACTCGCTACCCTAGTATCAGTCGTGGAGTGGCCTAACCAGGGTTGCTGATGCTAACCAGCTGACCTGCCAGCTACCGGCTGGACTTGTGGTTGATGGCCTCCACGACGGTGCCCCCAGTGGAACTGTGATTTGGCTGGCCTGTGGCCAGGGTAGACTCAAGAGAATCGAAGGATTCGTCGTGAGGCCACAAGAGGACCAAGAGCTTAGCATCGTTGAGCACCGTGAACGTCCAGAGTCTTCAGAGGAAGACTACGTTGTATATTATAGTGTTTATTCCTCCCCCTTGTGATAATCTTTATATTATTTATGGTGACGGTGATAATTATATTATTAAGTTTTTGCCTTTGTCTCCCTTCCCCTTTTAGTTTACTTGCGTTACGGATCACATCCCTTGAAAGCCACTACTAGCTTGGGGCCGGATACCCTACCTCTAACAACATCAGAGAAAGAACCCGGTTGCGACCCGAGAGGGCCGTAACACCGTCCATTCTCAAGTCGATTGTGAATGGTTCAGGACGGACCGAAACGTCGTCGTCCCTTCACATTCGTGTGGTCTTGTCAACATTGTGAACTCAACAAAATTCAATTTAAACAAGCCCTCGTAGCAGCTTCCAATGCATCAAAGCAGCACACACACACAAGGTCCCCCGCCTTAAATGTCGCCACGTTCTCCAAGAATATCCAGAGTCTGGTCTCCCAAATACCAGGAAAAAGACCCCTCCTGATCAAAGGCAGGTACACAGATTTCCTCCTCGCCCTTCCTTCCTTTCTCTCTCTCTCTTTCTCTCTCTCTCTCTCTCGCACCAAGTGACGTGCGCGAATTCCTTTATCAGCTACGCATTTAAGCTGCGTAACAATCCTGTTTATTCGTTCGCTACGTTAATGCGTATTATTAGTGTTCAAAATCAAAACTGACATCACACAAGTCTTCCCCCGGCTTAAAAAAACCTACTTTGGATAATCACTTTACCTCAAGAAGAATTAACCGAGATCGTAGAACAAATTAGTGTCAAGTACATTTTGTGTGCGTCTGAGTTTGACAACTAGAGACTTGGGGAGACATTATGCGCTGGTGCAGGCAAGCCTCGCCTCTACCTTACACTAACCTTGGCTGATTCAATGTCGCCAACATCCAACAAGAATTGTTTAATTATCCGGAAATGTTTAAGTCATACAGAAATTCGAGGAACTGTTGCAACTTCTCGGTAGGCTTGTGGGAATCCTTTTGATCCAACACCATTATATATATATATAAATATTATATATATTTATATATATAATATTTATATATAAATATTATATATATATATATATATATATATTTATATATATATTTATATATATTTATATATAAATATTATATATATTTATATATAAAAATTATATATATTTATATACAAATAAATATATATATTTATATACAAATAAATATATATAAATTGTATATAAATAAATATATTTATATACAAATAAATATATATATATTTGCGATGCTACCGATTCGTATTACTACTCTATACAAGCCATCACACAAGACTT